ATTTCTAAAAGAACAGACACATAGAACTGAATATGGTAAAAATGAGCCCATTAATAGGTGTTGTACTGTATTCAATCGTTTTAGCTACCTTTTTTCACCTACATATTCCAAGAACACTTTCAAAAAAAAAATTCTTGACACTTTATACTAACCATAACCTACCACAATTTTTAAGTAATTCATTGACCTAATTATAGTTTTTTTTATTGTCATAAGTAGAAACATTTTTGACTTTTTTTAGTAAATTTTTTATAATATCATATTACACTATATTGTACCTTGTTATAATTTGTGTTTTTTCTTTTGATTCACTTTTGTTTGTTATACTTAAAATTTCTAATTTTGCTGCATCAGCAGTTATGTATTTATTGTTTGTAGGTTAAATATTAGTAATATTTTTTTTTTCTTGTTTCCTGTATTAAGCATAAGCAATTTTTTTTGTATTTTGTATGTAATAAGTTTCTTTTTTGTAAATTAATATAAATTATGTTAGCACCTTGTTTGGTGTAAATAAATAAAAAAAAATATTTATATGCGTATACATGTATAATGTTAATAGCAAAATATTTGAACGAGGGCATCAAAAAATTTGCATGTATTTTGCAAGGTTAATAATAATTGCTTATTTAGAACATTATTTTTATAGAAATATAAGAACGATATCATAAGGTTGTCAACTATATGCAATGTATATTGAGGCATAAGCTTCGTACATATTATATGTACATATAAATTATTTATGAAATACGCCAAAACTAAAAAAAAATCAATAGAAAGAAGTTCTTGTTGTTAAATTAGTGCAAAATTTTGAGTTTTTATAGGCATTTCTTGAAATTAATACTAAAATTTTGGTACTCCGAAAGTGATTAGCGCGATAATATTACAATACGTTTTATTATTATTGTACAAATGACCTTTATGTCAAACAGATGTAGTTTTTGTCAAACCGACTTTTTTACAAAAATGGACGTCAAACGTCCAAAACAATAACTAAATAATTGAAATAACTGCGCAAAAACCTCATGGTTTGTGCATTTGCTAAAATTCTCGGTCATTTTATTAAAATGTTTACTTTCAGTATTTTTCCCTCAACAGTTCTAATCACTTTCACATTAATATTTTTAAGTTGGTCAACATACATACTAAGATGTTGACAAAATAAAATCTTATTAATTCCATTTCTTCTTATGAATGTCTTATGAACCAGAAGTTAAAGGACATGGTTGTTAAAAATGTAAATAGATTGTGTGTATATGTACGTACAAAATATGAAAATGGTAAATTATAAAAGAAATAAATAAAATTTTCAACCATCCCAAAATACACCAAAATATTTTTTAAAAAAGTTTTTCTATAAAGTTAAATTAGTGTTAATTTTCTTTCTTCTTCATTACATAATACTCGTAAAATCTTAGAAACCTAATTTTCCTTTTATAATAGAAGTGTCATTATTATAATATTGAAGGGTCGTTAAAAGTAATATTAGATTTCTACAAAAAAAAATAAACATATTTAATTTCTCTAACAAGAAGCAAACAGCATTTTGAATACAAGATTTTAATAACACCGACAGGCACAATATAAAAGTTGAAAGGTTATCTACATTAAATGTTTTTAAATTGATTTATGGATTATGAAAAGGTAAAAATTTCGAGTGAAACTTTGAAAGTGCGTTTAAAATTCTAGATGCTTAAAAGAAGATTATTTAGACATCATTTTTACCGGTTGCATTGCATACAATAAGGGAAGTTATGTGATGGCACCAAATTTCGGATGTGGAGTATTCATTGAGAACGGCACTTCTCCATAGAAGGGAGGTATAAATAAACTATTTTTAAAAGAGATGCCGGTCTGTCGGTCTGTGTACGCACGCTTGAGTCTCAACTTCGGCTGAACCGATTTTGATAAAATTTTATATGTGACCTTATTTTGGTTATGTCAGGAATATTGATCAACTTTTGAGAGATATCACACGTACAAGAACTAGAGCTTTTTGCAGGTCGATTTTACATTTTTTCGCATATGAACAGAAATAATCAACTAATTTTCTTGAAATTTAATATTTAAATTCGAGGTGGTTAAGTAATAAATCTGTAAATTTTTCGGAAAGATCAGATTTGTGAAACTGAACTAGGGGCGATTTCACTTTTTTTACTATATCTTCTGAACTACTTTATGAAATTCCTTGAAATTTAATATTTGAGTTCTGGTTGTTACCTAAACTTAATCCGAATTCGTCATTTAACAATAGTGTTATTTACTTTTGTTAAATGACGAATTCGGATGGCTCTAAAGAAAATTTTCATGGAATTCGGATGCCACAAAACGAAACTCATACTAAGAGCCAAGTTTACATTTTACAGGTATCTTAAATAAAATTTTACTAATTTCATTAAAATTGTAAAGAAGTGTTCAAAAAGCATTTGCATGCGGAACATACCTATAGAGTTGGTTATGTGTTGACCACATCAGATTTTTCATTTCATTATTACACTGTAATTGTTATTTTTATTATAATTGTGTAAAATGTAAATAATTTCAAGTTAGATTCAAGGATATTAAAGAATTAAAATTAATTTTCTATATTATTATGTAGATGTTCCTTGGAATTATTTATTTTATTAAGATGCTTTTAATTTAAGTTTGCAAAAGGAAAATTCATAATAATATTATTTAGGACTTTTGGCATTATATTTGTATGTTGATTGTATAATAAAGAAAGGATATTTTAATTTTATATAGTAAATAAAATTTTATTGATTTTATAATTGGGATTTAATTGAAAAATAAAAGAAGGAATCCTTTTATATAGGTTTCCTTAAAAATAAATTACGTATTTAAAATTCAAAAACATATAAAATTATTTTAAACTTAAGGGTTTGTTTTTGTTTTTTGGGACAAAGATTATAATAAATTTTAAGATTGTTGATCTTTATAAATAATATAATATGAATATTAATTTATTATAGAAATTATATTATTAAAAATAAATTTGCTATATTTATAATGTCTTGGGTTAAAAAATTCCTTTAGGTTATATTGTAGGTATTTTGCATAATACTTGTGTATTAAAATATTTGTTTAGAAATTATAAAAGGAATTTCACTATTACCTGTTGAAATTATGTACAAATATGAATATTTATATACACACATACATATGTAGGTATGTATATGTATACCAGCTCATTGTTAATGTTCATGTATGTGTAAGAAATTGGTTTAATCTAAATAATAGATTTAATATTTGAATTGAATTCAAATAAAAATATTTTGGGGAAAAATAATGGAAAATATTTTAATTGGTTTTTCTGAACCCGAAAGGAAGAAATAATAAATTTGTTCTTATATTATTTGTAAGGACAGTAAAATAAATCAAATGAATGGAATCTTTAATAAAAGATGAAATAATGACATAAAGGACACGATTTTTTATTGAAATTTTTTAAGATTGTAATTTTTTACCATATATAGTGTAATATCTAGTGTAAATATTTTTTTTGTAAAACAAAATTTTGGGTACCCATAACATTACTTTAGTGTATTAAAGGTAATAAAATGTCTTATAGTTTTAACAGGAGTACTGTGATAATTCGAAAATATTTCAAAAATATTAATCTTGCTCAAATTTATAATCCAATTTTTCTAGTTTTTATACCAGATTTCGAAAATTTTGTGTGTCATATTACAAAATATGAAACGCTATGCAACTTTGTACTTTTTTGGAGAACATTAACGCTCTTGGGTCCAATATAATTACTTGGTTCATCATTGAGATTTTAAAATTTTCAACAAATTTCGATTAATTTCGGTACCATTTCCAAAAGAGAAAAGTTTTAATAAACCGGATATTGGATTGAATAATCGATTTCAAATTTATTTAAATTTCATTTTAGTTATCACGTTATTATTCTTATGTATCTTTCCGTAATTATGTAGTTGAAATTATCATATATGTATTAAACTATTTTAATATTATTGTTATACCTTTAGATACATAAGTATGTATAATGAATCTAAATCTATTTGTTAATTAGCGCTCAATTTGCACGAGAAATAGTTAATATAAGACGATAGTTCCAATAAAATACAAAATTCTAATTATATTTTCAAACAAAAATCGTATTCTTCTTTTCAAAATCACTATTAATTACACACTTTTGTAAATTGTTAAACAATTATTCATTTAAAATAAATAACAGAGTATACGTAAAATAGTAATAACTTTTCATTATTAAATTTACATTTTTTATAATTTTATTTGCACAAAACTTTCATAAATGTAAGTAGCTATTTTGAAAAATAAAAGGAGGAACTAAAACATTTATACATTTTATATAAATTCTCACGATTTATATAGAAATTAATGCAATATTGCAGTACCTATACTCTTTCACTTTAATAAGTTATAAACTAGAGTGTTGCTGTTAAAAAATCTTGACTATAATTACATAAAAATTGTTTATAAAAATTTTACTACATATGGAAAAAACTTTTATAATTACTAGGTCTTCTATAATATTATTATAAAAAGGTAACAACGTAACAACTTTTTACCACTTAACTAATATTGTTATATACATAGGTGCATACCGAAAACTAAGAAAATAACTCATTAAAATTAAAAAAAAAAACAAAAACGAATTAGCAAAAAAAAAAATTTTCGTTATGACGTTAATTAAATTCTTCATTACTATGTCATTAAACTTGCTATGCCAGCGTATATATATTTTATGCATACATTCGTCAGTGCAACTATGTTATACGTCACGTAATTAAAATCCATAACGATACGAAACAAAAGCCATTAAAAATAAAATTTAAAAGAAAAAAAAATAAAAGAAAATTTATAACCGCTGTTAATAAGTTTGCCACTATAGAAGTAAACGTAAATTTTCAATACATACATATGCATATGTATACAATTAATGTTCCTTATAGTAAGTAAGTAGGTGTATAAATATGTATATACAAATAATTTGTTTGTTTATAAAAACTTACGTCAATTTCTGCACCTGGTATACTAAAATTTCTGAATGGTGGATTTCTAACTCTAACATATTCAAACAATTTCCCATGATCTGATTTTAGCCACAGAACCTATAAATAAAAACAAAAAATAAATTTATATGGAAAAATATTTTTTAATATATAAAATGTTTAATTAGTTAATGAGAGCTGTAAAAATATTGTTAAAATTGTAAAATTTATTTAGTTTTGTAATTTTAATTTTATAATATTTGTTAGCTAAATTGCTCCAATCACCATTACTTATTTTTCACTTAATTATTTATTTTAAAAGAGAGGTTTTTTACGTATAGCTTATAAAATATACGGGAAAATATCTAAAATATTCGGAAAGATAAATTACATTTCAGTAATAAGCAATTTATTTTAAAGCTATAATTGAAAATTAAAAACTCCTGTCAAGTTTAAAAGCATTATATAACTATTTGTCTATATTTACTTTACCAATTGTCAGGAGTTTTTAATTGATTTGCTGAAAATTTAACTGATACAGCATTGCATGGGTTTAAAGGTTCATCAGCATATTCCAATTGATGAATTCAACAGTCGCTGCTACAACACCCTTGCACCAGTTTCATAAAAAAAAATATTCTATTTTTTCATCTCGGGGAAACCTTTATGATAAAAATTCATATACAGTGAAACCTGTGAAAACCGGATTCTGTAAGAGGTGAAAATCTGTCATTAGCGAAAAAAAATTTGCAAATGAAAGTTCTTGCCAAAAATATTTCGTATTGAAAAGACGAAAAAACCAAAAAACTACGTAAAGTTTTTTAATTTAAAATGTTGTATAGTTTCGTTTGGGAATGCAAAAAATCTTTCTAAGCCGTAAAGAAACTGCGGTCCCTGGCAACTCTGTCTCTGACAGGCTTTACTGCAAATCATTTTTAATAAATTGATTGAAAATACAAACATAATGAGGAGGTTCTGTTGGAATAACAATCTAAAATCAGTAAGAATTGCTTTAAAATTGCCTTAAAGTACTTCAATATTCAATTGCTATTAGCTAACTGCATTGATTCCAGCAGGTAAACAAAATATTTAAAAAATTTAAGAGTAAAATAAGCAACAAAAGAATTTAGTTAATAAAAGAATGAAGTTTATAAAAAATTTTTAGGAAAATTCGAAAATAAAAGTCACATTTTTACTATCATAAAAGTTAACGAAACCAAAGTTATCCTTAAAAATATAAAAAATAATAAAATTCTAGACACGAATTTTAATAAAAGGACAAAAATGTGGAAAAAAAAACTTGTTTATTTTTTTTCCTTTTTCTTTTTAGTAAGCTAATTTTTAAGCATGGCATAAAACAATAAGTGGAATACATTTTCATTTTAAAATATTTTGGACGAGAAAATTATATTGTCCCTTGAACATATATGGAACAAGTTACTACGAACCTGTTGAAATCGACAATTTGTGGCAATTAAAAAAAAAATAACATAAAGTACAATTTCCATTGATTGATTAGAAAGACGAAATTTTAATTAAATCTGTTGTAAATTAAATTAATTTTGAAATATGATCAGGGGTCGCATTTTTCAGACAATGTCATTTAAGAATGTATATGTATTTCAAGTTCTTGATATAGTTTATTGGATGTTAAATTGGATTAAAATAATTCAACGATCATTGTTTTAACATATCTCAACGTTTATGGTCTGGAAAATTTTAAATTAAAAAATTTTGTTCGGAACTGAATGTCAAATTTCAAATTTGACATTCGAATTTGAAATATTTGGTATAGAGCTTTTGCTAGCTAAAACCAAAGTCTTTTTGAAAGAGTCTATATGAGGTCTTCGGAGATGCTGCACTTCTCACGCAAGAGATAAAAATTTTTGAAAAGCTACAAGAGGAACCAAATTAAGTCATTCCCTGTCTTAATGAAAAGAGGAAGTAAAACCTCTACCAAATTTTCTTAAAATCTCTGTAGCTGATGAGATTAGAATCTCCATGAATAGCTAATGAGATTTGACCCCTAGTTTAAAAGAAAATTTTTTATTTATTCGATAGTATTTACATTTGTACGTATGCTAATCAGTATAAAACGCTGAGTACTGAATTTTCCTGTATATTCTCTCGAAAATAAAGAGCAACATATTTAACTGAAATATGTTTGCTACCGTGTGTCGTATACATTATAACGCCTTAAGTTGATAGCATAATCATAACGTTACATTTAAAGTTTTACACTATGAAATGTAAATATGTATTGAATTTTAAAAAATTCGAATTATTATAGTGTATCATTGCTGTGTATAACACCTTCAATTTCAATATAAAGTCATATCGATATCCTTACAAGACCTAAAACCTTTTATTTATCCTTTGTGTTTTTATAAATTTTACAGTGAAATCAAACTCATAGCTGTCCAATCCTTTTCATTATTATTTTAAAACTTTTTCCAATATACCTAAATTTTTTTAATATTAAAGCAGTTTATTGCATACATTCAGTATAATTTTCTTTATTAGGTGATAAACAGCTTATCAGAAGATATCTAAACTATCAGAATTAATTTTAACAAAAGTAGAGAAAAGAAAAAAGAATGAATTCTTAAAAAGTTTTGCTAATAAAACTTTTTTTTTTCCATTTCTTAAAAGACTAAAAATATTTTTTTTTTCCCTTAATTCTTTGAAAATTCTTTTGGTATAGTTTTTAAATTAAAATATTTCAAAAGTTTTAGTGAATTTTGTACATTTTATAAAATATTTTGTTTGAATTTCCACAAAGATTTCATTATTTAATTCGAATCTATGAAGTTGAAACAAAAAACTATTTCAAAGATAATCTCAAATCACAACACCCATCAATTTAATTCTCCAAAAAAGGGTATAAGCATATTTATTACATTTTTGTTTTATATGGGAGGATTTAAATTTTAAGATATTTATATTATACATTTAGTGGTTGTTAAAGTTTATACACGTGTAATATCCCTATAAGTTCAATAAATCTTATATAGCACGTGTATATGAAAAAGGCAATAAAGTTCAAATACAAAAGGAATGTTATGTATTCGTATTATTGTGACGCACAGTATCAGCTACTGCAATAACAAAAATGGTTAAAAAGCTTGTACGTCCCACGTTATTCGCTCGTGTGTCTGCTTATAAAACTTCTAATTGATATTTAATGTAAAAAAATCTATGTAATAAAATTTTATTTAAGAAAATTTCTACTCGTCTCTTTTTCTCTTCCAAAATTCTGTTAATGACATTTTCAAATAACTTTGCCGATCAAAAGTGCAAACATTTTTTAATTTTGAAAACATATAGGAAGATGACACAAACGTTTCATTTACCGTACAATAACAAAACCGTAAAATAACATAAACACATGACACAGTGACCTTTCATGGTGGTCACTATCCTCAGTATGGTTGGCTGCTTAATGTAGCAGATGTAACAGATCCACAATATAACAGTTAGAATCATTACATGATCATTAGGTCGTTATTGAGCATACGATTACAGGTGTCTGTCTAAGCCCCTCGGTTCTCTTGAAGAATCTATCTAAATAGTAATCTTTGAAATCTCATCTAGGTCCATCTTAATTATGTTTTAATAGTTAATCACGTTATTAAATCATTATAAATGTTATAATACTTTTAAATTTGCTCATTCGGCCTAAAGGTATGCAATAATAAATATTGCATAACTTTTTTGTAAACGTGAAATTTTTTGAGTCGAATCCGTTTTTTTATTTTTTAAATAATATTGTCCTCAAGATTTCAATAAAATTCGATTAGAATTTATGTGAAAAAGCTAATTAATCCGAAATTATGCAGAACTTTATGTATGCTACAGAATCAACAATTGAAATCTGAAATTTGTTAATTCGCAATAACAGTATTTAAATATTATAATTACGGAAGGAAGCGTAATATTTACTTAAATGTGGTCATAACATTCTCGCGAATCGTCGCTAATAACCAAATAGTTAATTACATACTGTTTTATGTAAAACTCCCCAACTATTAATCACTTGAATTTAATACGCAAAATACTAGCTGAATTGCGTTGATATAAGAGAGTTTTAAATAAAAAATAGTAGATAATATGAACTCATGCATTCAAATTTCCCATCGAAATCTTAAATATGAAAAATATTGAAATGTAAATAAAATTTCGATCAAAATTCAATGCTTATCAAGCAGCATGAGTGAATGAGTCCTATTCAATTTCCAACATAAAAAATATTTTCAATATTTTCCATGTATTCACAAATCAATTTCAGTTTTTTCCTCCAAGAACGAAAAAAAAACAACTTATACATACAATATGGACAGAATCATGATTTGGACAGAAGGAAAGTGTCAGTTTCTATTTTTAAATTACAATAATACAAACACAATATTATAAGTTTTCAAAAAAAGAAAAAAAGAAAGTACAGTAGTCATAATATATCCTGTCATATTCTTGTATTTCCAGGAAGCTAACTTGTAGATTAACAGTATAAGAGAATAAGACAAGGATAATAACAATAATACAAAAATAAAAGAGAGAAATAAACAAAACTACAGAAAATTTGAAAAGAAAAAAAAAATTCATTTTCATGTCGCACAGCATTTCCTTTTTAATATTTTACTTTCTTTCAAAGGATATTTTTGTACAAATGTGTTTGTATGTGTTAAATACGAACAGGTTGAATAATTTAAGAATTTTTTTTTTTGGTGAAAATTCTACATGATTTGAAAAAATTTTAGACATTTCAAGAATTTCGAATTTCTTTCCTTTATTTAACAGTGGGTATTCTTGAAATTTGGAAAGAAAAGAAAAAGGATTTTTATATTTTGGGAACATTATTTTATTTATATGTGTGTATTATAAGTTTTTATTTTATAATGTTTTCCGGATTAATTCAGCTACATAATTTACCAAAAGAGCCAAGTATCAGTTGGAGATTAAACAATAATTATATCTACACAATAATATTATTAATATTGAACCATTCATCGAAAATACTGGAATCTCTCAGTATTGTTAGCGTAACTGGTTTCAATCGTAAGTAACATTAAACAAAAATATAAGCCTAGGATAAGAAGTAGAAAAAAAATTTTTTTTTCAAACAAATTTTTTGAATTGCAGCAAATATTTTTGGAGAAACGTATAGGCGGCCACGGTTCATGACACGTAGACCATTGAAACATCTTATTTTGTAATAGTACGTTAATCGCTTGAAGAAGACCTACATTACATCTAAAAGATTTGAATTAAAATTCGATGTTTGTAAACACTGTCGGATCTACTCAAACAATTTGCATTTTCATAAGTGAACATTACAGTAATTAAAAATAGAAAATATCAGAACTTATTTTTTAAGATGATTTGGAATTTTCTATTATTTATTTCTGATTTATGTATAATAATAAATTTTCAATTTACTAAATTTGTAATTTAATTTGTTTGATTAAATTCTTATTGTGTAATTTTTAATGTAAATATAAAAATACAAAAACAAATAAGAAATATTCGTAATTCAACAAAAAAATTCTGGACGTCAAGAATTGTTAAGTCAACTTTTCTTTTATATTTTTTTGTTCTAATTGATGTGCGTGTCATTGTTTACGAATTTATTAACACAATATTTAGAGACTTAGATAATTTTGTGGGAGCAGCATGAGTATTTGAAAATAATCTTAAATAAAATATCAGAAGAAGATGGAAAACTCTTGTCTTGTTTGTGTAAAAATTTTATTCTTATAAATAAAAGTTCAATATTTGTTACCCGAGGAGAGAAATCAAATTATGAGAGCTAATAATTTTGATTAAACTATTTAAAATATAAACAGAATTATGTCGGTTATGACAGCAGTAAGAACAGCAGAAGTCAAGTTTAACAAAATAATATTGGCTTCAGTGCAGACTCATCGAATATTTTAGTTTAATTATTTTGTTATTTTAATTTTTTTTAAATTATAAATAAAATCTCGCACACATGAATTATTCGGTTTTTCCAATTACTTTTTCGAGATAGTATTCAAGTTTTGTGGAAAATTTTGATAGTACATAAATATAAAAACAAGCTGAAATCCGAAATATTTCTATAAGAGAGTTTAACTTTCTTTCTAAAATTCTCGGAAACAATGATCACCGGGTGAGGAAAGAGTCAGTGAGCATTCGTATAATAACATTTTCTGGTGATTCGTATAATATCATTTTCATTTCTTTCAAAAATATAACAAATTTAGCTACGATTAACTCGTAAAGAAATTCATAAATGCCAAAATCTAGTTGACATTTTGAGAAAACATGAGAAAATCCAATTGAAATAATTACAGTAATCTTATTAGAGAAATTGAATATTCAATTAAAACAATGAAAATTTTTATTTGAAAATGACTAAGAAAACAAATGAGGAAGAGATATACAGAATCACGCAGCAAATATTAAAAATTTTCTCAGTGTCATTTGCATCAGATTATTTGATTATAATATGTGTTTATAGCGAAATTTGGCATTCCCCCCCGAATAATTTTGTTTCTACTCTTAAAATGGAAAATGAATTTAATTAATTTTTTTACTAAAAAAAATTTGTAAAAGTTTTGCTCGCATGATTTCAGCATATTATAAATCAAGAATTTTCAAACTATTCTTTGACGTGAATATCAAACAAATTGAGTCTAGCCAAATTGGCGTTACTGTTGAATGAATTCGATCTAAATATCTAAATACATTCATTTATATTACAACAAACGACATAATTTTTATTCAATTCTCGTTAAAGCAAAATTCAAGAGTTTTCCCTATATTATTATAGTAATAGCTTCATTTGATACTGTGATTTAATATTAATTTTAAATTTAAAATAATTCATAATTATATGGAATGAAAAAATTTTTAACTTTTTATGCTATTTATCCTTAAATGAAAATTTATTCAAATTTCTATTGTATTTAATTTCAATTATTATTTTAAATTAATTAAAATACGATCCTTAAATAATAACGAATTATGGCATTATTTCAAAATAATTATGATTTATTTTTTTATTTTATATAAAAAAAATTTTAGTTATACGCATTGAGCATTAAGCTATTAATAATTATTTTTTATTTTTTCCGGATTTTTTTTTATATATTTGGCAATAATTTACAATTATAATAAATACCTTATATAATATTTCGTGTTTAACATTATGTTCACAAAAAATTGTGACACTTAATCCTCGATCAACATATTTTTTCAATGTTAAATGAACCTCAACCTCAGATTGTCCACCTGTAATATAACAAAGAAGGAAATTAAAATATTACAAAAAAAAATATTGTTATAATAAATTTTTTTTTGGAATTTGTATAATATATTACACAAAAATATTATATTTGTGTTACATACATACAATTATACATAAAATATATTGTTTACCAAAATATTTTGTTTTAATAAATCAATAAATTTATATTATGCTTTTGTTTTAGGAACTGAATTTATGTTCATATAAATTATTGTACAATGATGAAATATGATATTTATAGGAAGAAAATATGAATTAAAATTATAATTTATAAATATGAAATTCAATGTTGGTAACCGGCGGTCGACTCCCTATAATATTCTTGGAAATTTATTGTAAATATTTCATTCCCTCAAATGTTTTGATTTTTTTGTGAAGAAAGACCAAAAATAACAATTATATTAAGAATCTTTATTATTCACCTAGTTAAATTTAATATTCGATTTCAAAAAATTGTTTTTGTATTTTCAAATTTTTTGGAGTCATAAATTAAGTATTCAGGTTACAAAATAATGAAAGTTTCCATAGGAATATACATACATAAGTACATAAATCTTTCATTATACGATTTGAAAATTTTGTTCCTTATTTTCTTTTGTTTCCACCTTTTTTGTACTCTACATTTTTGTTAATATCAGGATATTGGTCCTTTATATTATTATATACATAGGCACCTTATATATTTCAATATTGCATATTGTATTCAATGTTACTAAGGATCCATTGGTTAAATTATGATATTTTAATATTTAATTACAGGAAAATAATTTTTTTTTTTTATAAAATCAGAAATTTTATTTAATACTAATTTGATTGAAATTGAAAGTTAACTCTGATTACAAAAAATTTATTGAAATTTTAGTAATTTAATGGACTTAAGTATTATAGAAGATATTTAAAGAAAATAAATTTTGTTGCACATTTTGCCAAAATTGCCACAATTACGTTAAATTTTAATTTACAATTGGGAACAAAGATCTCATATAAATTTTTAATTAATTAATTTGACTTATTTCTGTATGTACACCATTGTCATTAAAACGCAAATTTGAACTACTTTGAATTTTTATATTTCAAAAATTAACAAATAATTTTTATTTAGCGTTCATAATAAAGGGAGTGGATGATTATGTGCAAAATATTAAAAAGAAGAAATTAACAACTAATATTCTTTGATAGGAGAACACAAAATGAAACTATCAACATAATATTTGTTATCAAGCGACTAACACCATATTTCAAATATATCTATAATTAGGAAAGAGATTTAAAAAAAAACTAAGGCAATTGAATTTGTGTGGATAAAGAGTGGTAAATTGCTCTGAAGCTGTCCACTTTCTTTAATCACCGGTCAACTTCTTTTTGAATTTTTTGCGAATCAGTACCTTGTCGGCTTATTAGCGGCTTGTTTTACAATTATCGTGTATGCAGCTTTTTATTAATTGAATCTCCTATACTAGCTTCCGCTTGAAGACTCCTATATAGATTGCATAATATGCTGTATATAATTTCAATGTTCAGCCCTATACACATGCTGCACAATCAGTTTTTACATGGTCCATTACAACATAGTAAATTATTATTTCTCAAATTTATGTTTTTATTGCACCGATTACATATACTTTTATTATTCAACATTTTGATGTGGTTATATAAATTCATAATTCATAAAAATTTACATATTTTTAGGATGCATTCATATAAAAATTACATAAATATACATGGTCTTCGCCAAACGGGAAGACAAGAAACCAAATCGATCACATGTGTATCAGCCGAAGATGGAGAAAATACATGTTAGTTGTGAAAAATAGAAGAGGAGCAGACATAGATAGTAATCACGAGCTGCTGACAGGCGATATCGGGCTGAAAATGGAAAGAAAAAGGCACTATAACAACAGAAACAAACGCTTCAATATACAGAAACTCCAGAACTCCCAAACTGCTTATAGATATACCAGCAGACTGCGTGAAAAGCTGCCACTTGACCAAGAACACCCGTGGGAAGAAATTGTGACTAAGATTCAAGAGACTGCCGAAGAAACGCTAGGTAAAAAACAAATACAACGCAAAACATGGATCTCTGACGAGACTTGGGACCTCATCAATAAAAGGAGAGATGCTAAGCAACTAGCGACCAGCGAAAACAACAACAAGTCTCCACAGTACTAGAGCTTAGCAAAACAAGTAAAGAAAGCTGCTAGAGGAGACAAACGGAGATATCTCGAAAAGATGGCGTTCCAAGCGGAGTAACACGCCAGCCAGAACAACATGCGTGGCTTGCACCGAATAATTAATAATCTCACCGGGCAAAAAGAAAACACAGCTCGCCCTGTCAGAGACCGAAGCGGTAACCTAGTGACAAATGAAGAGGCCCAGATAGAAATATGGAAACAGCATTTCGAAAAAATTAGCAACGTAACACATACGACCAGCGAAGAAGTGCATGATAGTAGTAACCCAGTCAGAAGACAAACAAACTTAAGAATTTCTGAAGATCCCCCAAATATTAGCGAAATAAAAACAGTCATACAAAAAATTAAACATAACAGGGTTGCAGGCAGTGATGGCATGACAGCGGAATTACTTCAGGCAAACGCACTAACTATGGCCCAGCTGTTAGAACCACATATTTCGCAAGCTTGGAGGGAAGAAAGGGTTGCGCAGTCATGGAAAAAGGGCCTTATCATCAAATTACCAAAAAAGGGCAACTTGACTCACTGTGATAATTGGAGAGGCATCACACTACTTAACATAGCATACAAACTCTTGGCAACAATTATCCAGAATCGCTTAAGGGAAAAACTAGAGGAAACAATACGTGAAGAACAGGCTGGGTTCCGCCAGCATCGGAGTTGTGTCGGTCAATTAAATACGCTTCGAATCATAGTCGAACAATCAATAGAGTACAGAACACCATTATACATGCACTTCTATAGACTTCAAGAAGGCTTTCGACACAATTAAGCGCGATGCAATATGGAAAGCGTTAAAAGATCGCAGTATTACACCGAGGAAAAATAAGCGAATCCTTCACCACCCAGTCAGGAGTCAAACAAGGTTGCCCACTTTCACCACTGTTCTTCACAATCGTGCTAGATAACATCTTGCAACTTGTCTGCTCACACGGATGAGGCATAATCTGGAGTCTCACTCAATATCTGGAGGATCTAGATTATGCAGATGACATCTGCCTTCTGTCCCACAAGATCAGCGACATGCAGAGAAAATTAAAACACCTTGAAAAACTTGCCAAACTTGTGGGGTTAGAAATAAACATAGACAAAACAAAATCGATGAAAATAAACTCTACTAGTCAGTCTGGAGCTCAATAACCAACAAATAGAGTTCGTTAGCAGCTTCTGCTACCTGGACAGCATCATAACACCAGAGGGCGGGACCAAGAAGATATAGACAACAGACTGAAGAAAGCAAGAGCGGCGTTCGGTCGACTGTAGCCAATATGGAAAAGTAGGCAGATATCCAGAACGACTAAGGTCAGAATATTCCGGTCTTGTGTGAAATCGGTTCTGACATATGGCAGTGAAACTTGGCTAACATCAAAATCTACCAGTCAAAAGTTGCAAGTATTCATCAATAGATGCCTCAGAATAATATGCCGCATATTCTGGCCAAGACAGATAAGTAACAAAGACCTCTGGATAATAACAGGCGAAGAACCTATCGGAAGGCAAATAAGAAGAAGAAAGTGGAAATGGATTGGGCACACTCTAAGAAAACCCGCCAATAATATCGCTAAAATGAGCTTAGAGTGGAACCCGTAGGGTTCAAGAAGACCTGGACGCCCCAGAAACACCTGGCGTAGATCTGTAAAATCAGAACTAGAAAACGTAGGTCTAACATGGAGTCAAATCAAGCAAATAGCCCAAAATAGAACAAGATGGAGATGTCAAGTGGAAGCCCTATGCTCCCAAGAGGAGTAAGGAAAAAAAAAATCATTTAAAAATTATCAAATTAAAGACCACAATGCTATTCTGAACAGTTTATCTTTAATAAAGTGCTTATTATTTTCGATTTTCTTGAAAATATTAGATCTTGACATGGTATGTATGTGAAAATAAAAATATTTCCATTTTATAAATTGTGTCAATTAATGTACGTCATAATCACTAAGTGTAAAGATATAAAATTTAATTTTACATGCTTAAATTCTTTACGCATTAAACTACACTTGACTTTTAAATACTGTTTCTTCTTGAATTTAAAAATTAATTTACAATTAAATGAAAAATGTCACATTTCATACACAAGAATATGAAATCTCTTGAGTTTTCTTAATTTTAAAATTTTATAACTTTTTCTTACATTATGACAGAAGTACACGGACATATACACATAAAATTGAATATAAACACAAAATGTATATAGAAGTATAACAGTTTGTTGTCAAAAATAAAGTGTTAAAAGTTTTCCTTTTGTTTTGGAAACTAAAGACAATAATTATTTCTGACTTTATAATGTTTTTTGAAAATTGATTTTAAAGAAAATGAAAAATTTTAAATGTTTTTTCTTCTTCATTTTTTTGCTCATCTTTTGTTTCAAAAACAAACTTTTGGCAAGGTCATTTGAAACAAAAATTTACAAAAAAAAAAACTTTTTCAAATTTTAAAAGAAGAAATCATTAAGAATATTTTTTTTTTTAAGAACAACAGAAAATTGTTATAATTTTTTTTTTTTTGCTTCAACAATTTCATTTTGGCTTTAAACTAAACTCATTATAATGGCCATAATATTTTTAAACTTGAAAATATTGTTTCCTTTCGGAATATAAGATTAAAAGAATTTATTCCTTGGGTTCTTGTGGAATATCAAGAAATTTTTCGAAAAGTATGTATAAATGAATAAATCTGAAAATAAAATTGAATTTAAGGCTTAAATTATGTATGAATTTCGACATTCAATGTGCGGCATAATATGCACAGAGAAAAATTTTATAGTTAAAAATTTACAATTTTCTGCCTTA